CCCAGTTTACCTGTGCTCTGTATCCATAGGCTGGAAGAGCTGTCCGCACGGCACAGGGAGCAGCAGAGCCGCATTCTTGGAAAAAACGGCAGCTTTTATAGTGCATCTCTGCAGGGACCATCCAGTTCCTTGGGAACCAAAGCAGCAGCATAATTCATGGTTGAGCCACTAATCCCAGCCCCAGGGAAATGGGATCCATTCCTGGGCTGGGCATCACTTTAAGCATGTGAGCATGGGCTGATGCTGGGGTGGACAAGTGCCTTGCTGTGGCTCATAAGATGAGCTCTGCTCTTGTCTCCAGCTGGGCCTGAGGCTCTGAGGTCCACGCCGTGCCAGCCACCAAGCAAGCAAAGGAACAGAAGGCACCCGAGGGGCTCCCCAGCCCTGTCCTCGGCCAAGGGTCCTGCCTGCAGCGTGCGGTGGCCGTCCGTGGTGTACTGGGCTGCAGTGTCCTGCAGAGGGACCTCTGAGCCCAGCTGCAGGCACCGCTGCCCAGGCTCTCCTTGGCGCAGGCCAAGGCTTCTCAGAGGAGACGTGTGGGCTGGACCTCCAGGGCAGGCCCTGCTTCTCCAGCGGAGCTGCTGCATCAGCATTCTTGCACCATCCTATAGGATGGGTGCAAAGACATCCAGAGAGTGCCTGGACATCTCCAATGCAGCAGGGAGATGGAGAGAGGAGCATGTGCTGGAACATCCATGAGGAAAGCAGGAGCTGGAGACTCCCTGCTGAGTCGCATGCAAGGGGCATCCCCAGGCATACCAGAATTTTGGTGCTGTGAACTCACTTTCCCTGTTCCCCAGGGAGAGCACACAAAACATTTTCTCCCTGGTTTGAGGCACTTGGGATGTTCTCAAGCTGTGTCCTGAGTCAGATTTGAGGCACTTGGGATGTTCTCAAGCTCTGTCCTGAAGGCTTTTGCATAGCTGAGTCAGATCAGTGACACTATGCAGGCAGGCACACAGTCTGTATTATCCTTCCCTTTCTCTGGTCCAACAGAATCCGAGAATTTCCATGTCCCATACCTTTCAATGCAGCAAGTGCTCTCAGAACAACCTCATCCCAACTTGACCACCCTGGTGACACCACGAGAGCTGGTGCAGCTGCTGGAGCACAGCAGAAGCATCTCAGTGTTCCCCCTTGGGCAATGGATGAGGAATGGTCTCCCTCTCCTCAGATACATTTTGCTGTCACTGCTTAGCCCAACGAGGCTTGGAGCACCTGGAAGACACCAGGTATACAGTGCAGGAGGTATCTGAAGCCTCAGCATGGGACCTGGGCCAGGGCCAGAGCAGGAGGAGCTCAGATGGTCTCAGGGCTGCACTCACAGGTGCACTGAATCAAAGAAGAGTTGAGGTTGGGATGTACCTCCAGAGTCCACCTGGCTTCAGCCCCTGCTCAAAGCAGGGTCATCCTGAGCAGGACTGCCAGGACCAGGCCCACTCCAGGTTTGGATATCTCCAAGGATGTAAACACCACCACCTCTCTAGGAACCTGTTCCAGAACTCAATCACCCTCACAGTCAAGCAGTGCTTTCTTGTGCTTCAGCAGAATTTCCTGGGGCCCAGTTCCACCTCTAAATGCCAGAACCACAGCCATGAGAGGCAGATCATGCCAGCAGCATGACCTTTAGGAACAAGGAGGTTTTCCACTTTTACCAGAGCTTGAAGTAGGAGAGCGGAGATAGGGAGAGGTGTGTACCTAGCTTGCCTATAGCTGAAGATGGAGCCTTAGACTCTCTGGTTTTCCTTGCGTTAGGATGGGGGATTCTGTGCAGTTCAGTGATGGCTCAGGGAGGTGCCTGGGGGACTGGCAGCAGCTCTGTCTCAGGTGCATGGGAAATGTTAACTCTAGCTCCTACAAATCTCCTATTTCAGTTGGCTCAGAGAAAGCTAGTTTCAGCATAGACCTTGTAACAGCTATGGGCAGATGTGGAGCATAGGGTAGATGTGTTGGCTCTACAGCTGCTGAGGGCTTGTAGCTGAGGAGCCTGCCTGGTACACACAGGACACAGCACCCTGATGCTCTCCTATCCCCAGTCTAGCTGTTCAAGCACTCCTGTGGCAACTAGGAGAATTTGAGCACAGATTCTTGCACTGCTTTAGAGGCTTCATCTCCTTGGCAGCTGCTCAGGGTGTGGGCAACTCTCTGCTGCTGAAACTCTCCTTTGAAAGCTTCAGTATTCACTGGGCTGGGGCATAAGTCCCTTGCTTCATGACTGAATCTTTCCTCTGGACTGGAAAATCCTGCTGCTAGACCCTGCTCTGATGGAGTTTTAGTATTGTAACAAAAACGGGCCATTTTTCTGGAGGACACTAGGAGCCTAGGGGAAGGACTTCGACATATTTGACTGTGTACTGCCCTGGGTAGAAATTTGCCCTTCCTGCAGAGCTGTCGGGAGAGGGCTGCTCTGTGTGTCTGCAGCAGAAATAGCTGTGCTGCAAGGAGTTTTGTTGCTGTGTTGGGATTTCCAGGGGCTGCAGTCATGCAGCTCGTCCCCTTCCCCTGCTCACAGACCATTCAGGCTCCTCTTGATTTCCAGAGTTCATGCGCAGCCCACAAGCATCCCAGCAGACAACCACAGACCCCCAGGTTGCTGTGCCCTGCTGTGCATCACTGCTTTTCTGCAGGCTTCTGAAGGGCAGAGCTAACTCCTGACATACACATTCTGGGGGTTAAAAAAGCATGTTTTTATCTCCTTTCACTGTGTTTCCACAGTGTTTGGCATTCACATGGCAGAGAGGGACAGGAGAAATTATGAGGTTTGGGTTTGTTAATGAAAAGCTTTATTAAGGAGACAACCATTCCAAGGATCTCTGCTTGATTGCATGTGAAGCTGGTGTCTGGTCCTGCTTGTTGCTCCTTTGCCATTTAGTTAATTGGCAGATATAGTCAGCTGATATTCCTTAATGAACCAGTCAGGAGAAGGGGATGTTATCCTAAAAGCATGAAAATATGAAACAGATATTCAAAATCATGCAATTGCCTGAGAAATTGGGAAATGGCTAGTTTGGAGCTTCAGAGAAAATGAATACTTTGTGATTCTTGCACGTGCTTTTGTTATTCTGACCAGTTTGGAGCCCTCATATCTGACTCATTCTGCAAATAAAAGGTGACTGAGAGAAAAATCTGAGTATGTCTAATTGTCAGCACAGAGGGGAAAGGTGATTGAGGGAGGTACCAATTAGCACAGTTTACTGATGAAGCCATGACCTGGCTGCAGGGAAGGTACGGGCTGCTGCACCATTGAACAACTCCATCATTTGCCACTTTGGGACAAATCTAATTGTCAAAAACCAAGTACTTGTTTGGGAATGTTATACATGACTGCTCCTTCCCACGTCAGCACGGAGCAGTCAGGAGCTATTCTAAGTGGCTGCACTCGTATGGTTGAGGATGTGTCTACCTGCTCGACCAAGTGAAACACTGCAGCACTCCCACTCTTGTTCCGTTTGGGGTCAAAGCAGCCCACACACCCCTGACCTGCTGTTCACTCTGTGTACAAGTTTCCCCCTCCATGTCTCCCCCAGAACCCTATGCCTGTGGACTGGTATCTTGAAACAGGGACCTAAATGCACTTAAATAAATGCTACTAAAATCTGGAAGTTTCTCAGTTTTCCCCATTTTTGTGTTATATATGTATTACTATTTAGTACCCAACCAGAAGCAAACCTCTGTGGGAGCTCTCATGCCTATTGACAAGCCTTGCCAACCCCTGTTTTAGGAGGGGGTCTCAAGAAAACACAAGTCTGTTCTTTCCCAGCCTTGCCTATGGCAAAAACATGGCACTAGAGAGGGGGAAGGAGGCAACAACCCACAGCAAAGTGTGGGTACATGTGTTCCCCTTCATCATGGCTTAGAGGCCACCAGGAGAGAGAAGCCATCACCCCCCAGTCAAGAAAGAGACAATCTCCTCCATGTCAAGCTGGTGAGGAAGGTCTGGGAATACATAGGATATGATTCCTTTAACAGGTGTGGGGCTGTAAACTCGAGCAATAAAAGAGAAATGAATAGTCAGGATAAAATATCTTCTTACCAGCAAAGCTGTTTGAGAAAACTGGTGTCTAACATATGCTTAATGTTCTTCCAGTGGTCTTTGCCTGTGAAACCTCAGAAGTATCCGCTGCCGAATCTGCTTAGTTTTTACACTGTACACGATGGGATTCATCACTGGGGGCACCAACACATAGATGTCGGCCATGAAGACATGCACCAGGGGAGAGGCATGTTTCCCAAACCGGTGAATCATGGAAATGCCGATCATGGGGATGTAGAAGATCAGGACAGCACAGATGTGAGAGACACAGGTGTTGAGGGCCTTGAGGCGCTCATCTCGGGAGGCGATGCCCAGCACCGTGCTGATGATCATAATGTAGGACAGCACAATGAGCACAGAGTCCAGGCCCATGGTGGAGACAACAACAAAGAGCCCAAGGATGCTGTTGACCCTCCTGTCAGAGCAGGACAGCTTCATGACATCCTGGTGCAGGCAGAAAGAGTGAGAGAGGACATTGGGAAGGCAGAACTGCAGCCGGCGGAGGAGAATGGGGGTAGGCATTACCATAAAAACACTCCTTACTGCAAATGCCAACCCTGTCCTGAGGACAGTGGAGTCTGTCAGGATAGAGGTGTATCTGAGGGGCTGTTGGATGGCCACAAAGCGATCAAAGGCCATGGTCAGCAGCACGGCTGACTCCATGAGGGAGAACGTGTGGATGAAGTAGAGCTGGGCGATGCAGGCATTGACCTTCACCTCCCTGGAGTTGAAGAGGAAGATGCTCAGCATTGTGGGCATGGTGGACACTGAGAGGCCCAGGTCAGAGAGGGCCAACATGCTCAGGAAATAGTACATGGGCTGGTGGAGGCTGGTCTCCGTGTGGATGATGAAGAGGATGGTGCAGTTCCCCAGAATGGCAACCATGTACATGGTGCACAGGGGTATGGTGAACCAGGACTGAACATTTTCTAGCCCAGGGATGCCCGTCAGAAGAAACACGTCTGGACTCTCCACGGTCAGGTTGGGAAGCATCACGATACAACACTGCTGTTGTCAGCTCTGTGCCCTAGGGCTAAAAGCAGTCCAGTTATCTGAAAGCAGTAGGGATGTCAAAGACCTTGTCTGTGCACAAGCCAAAAGCCCTCCTGGCAGCCACAGAGAAACGGGCATACGGGCATCCATTGCCAGTATGGAGAACATCCTGGAACATGCCAAATCTTGCAAGCTGTGCATTTTCATCTTCACTGCACACTCACAGCCTTGCACAGAGAGCCTTGGAGAGTCTGAAAGGAAAAACTGAAAAGGCAGATGGGGATTCAACAGGGTCATAGAAGGATTTAAGTTAGAAGGGACCCCTGGAGAACACCTCTCTGCCTTGGGGAAGTGCTGCCCACTGTGTTGCTGCCCTGTCCCAGAAACCTTGTGCCCAGGTCCCAAGAAACTCCATTGAGAACTTGGAGTCCTCCCACATTGACCAGGAGTTACAGCATTCCCGAGGTCTGCATGGAGACCTGTGTTTAGAGATCCTGTGGGGCCTTCTGGAGATGGCAGAAGAAGATATAAGTACTGGGACTTTGCACCAAGCCCATAGCAATACCTTGTCCCTAAACTAACCATACATTCAGCCTAGACAAACAAGCCCAAGCATGAGACCTTCTGAGTGTAACTCATAGCTCCTCCATTATCATACTGTGGACACACTTTCTGGGGACTCATTTGACAAACAAGAGCATGAAGCTTCTTTCCTCTCTGCCTTGTCTTCCTGTGCTTCCCTTCAGCTTTTACCACCACTCATTTCTCCCTTTGATGTCCATGCACACACACACACAGAATACACACACACACACTGCCTGAGGGGCTTTCTCCCAGGTCCCCTGTTTGAAGGAACAGAGAGTCAGAGAGGCAGGAAAGCAAACGTAAGATGGGAGGTAGGCTGCGGAATGCTGGACTCTTCCCATGCTTCTCAATTTCTCAATCCAACCTGGAGGAAAACCATTTGTGGCAAGAGCATCGCTGCAGACTTCTCCAGACACTGAGATGGGAAACTGAGTCGCTGTTAAATATCAAGATGTGCTCCTGGCTGAGAACATCCCCAAAGCTGGCAGTGTAGGAAGAGGGGGCAAGACAGAACAAACCAGCAGAGTGTCACAACAAGGAAGAGGCTTTCAGGTAGCCCAAGGGAGAGGTGCCTATGCAGTAACAGGACTGACAGATCCATCTGGGGATCCGTTCCATGTGTCCTGGGAAATGGTGGCTCCTGAGCGCAGGTGGGAGACCCTGCAAAGACCTCGCTGGCCATGACCAGACAGAGGAGGAGGTGACAGAAAGGGATGAGGCAGTCTCAGTCCATGCAGTGGGAGAGACCCTTGAGATGGGAAAGCTGATGTTTCATCCTAAGGCAGAACCTAATCAGACTTGACCCAAGGAAGCCCTGAGCTACTGCCCCCGTGGATGAGTCCAAATAGGAGCTCACCATGGCTGGCTCAGCCTTGCAGGGCAGGCCTGGCTCCTGGGTCTGTAGTGACACAGCTCTCCAGAACCATGAGAGACCCAAGCATGTTGCCTCCGTGGAAGCCAATGTGCACAAGACTGTGGTCCAGCCCTCTCCACCCACAGCCAAAGTGCTCACTCACCACTGCCATGTGTGAGGGGGACTCACACCTGAGAGTCTCTGCCTGCTGGGCTTCCATGCCCAGCCCAGGTGCCTCCCAGGCTCACTCCACCTCTGTGTTTATATGGGATCTTGGCAACACTCTCCTGGGTCCCCGAGCAGTGGGAAAGTGTCTGCCACAAGACACTTCTGTGTGCAGCTGTGCCTCCGTGGATGGTGGAGCTGCATGCTGGAGCAGAGCCTGTGCCCCACATCTAAAGCTGTAATGATCCTGAGACAGACCAATAACAGAACAACCAGTAAAATGAAATCAATTGTAAGGGGCTTTGTATAAACTTTATGGAGGCTTCATGTGCCTTGAAAAGGTGGGGTTTTGTGGGCAGGACAGCAGAGCCAAAAGCAGCAGCACTCCAGTAGCAGATTGGCATGAGTTGGGTGTCCAGTTCCAGCTGACGCTGGTGTCATGGGGTTCCCCACGAGGTGCAGGCTAGTTTAGCTCCCCACATTCTCTTGAAAATGCAACCCATGTCATTGTTACAATGAGGCCTTTAAAGCACTGCAGTTCTTTGCCTATGATCCTGCTCAAACTGTACAACTCTACAGGCAGGGATCATGACTGACTGCTAAATTCGGAATGGCATGAAATGTTTCAATAAAAACAAATCTCAATGAAATTTTATTCAGAAATAAAGATATACTCTGCATCCACACACTGGGGACAGAGAGTTTATTCCTGTTGTTTTACTATGCAGCATATTGTCTTAGCCCTTGGCAGGATCTCAATCACTATCACAATATCAGACTGTCACAGTGTTTCTCCTTTTTTTGCATGTATTCACTGATTATAATCTAGAGAGTGATTTTGGAAGGAACTTTTTCAGCAGTGTGTACAAATTCTAAGTGCATATTTATGGAAAATGTATTTATAGAAGCAGATATTTGCAGCAGAAATCTCATGTTCAGCTGTGATTCCCTCAACTAGTAACCAGTTAGCTCAGAATTTGCACAGCACAAAGCAAGAAAATATTCTTTGACTCAGAATATTTGTGGGAAGGAAATCATAAATTCAGGAAATCCATTTTCTGATAATACACTTAAGGTGAAGCCCATGGATGCTCTTGTCCCCCAGTACTCCCGGCCCTCCAATCCCTTGTTCCAGATTCCACCAACACCTCAACTGGGTGTTTGTGATGTTTTCTTCCTGGTGCCGTTGGGAAGGGGATGCTACAGCTACAGATTAATTAGTAAAATTCATATGACACAGTTTCTGGGTCATATAAATTTGTTAGACACTGTGAACAGGAGCATCTTTTCGTACATATGTAAAGTATGCAGAAGGACACATTTCTTTTCCTGAGTCTTGATAGAAATAAGGAAAGCAGATACATTAACTTAATTGAAATATCATGGATGTCATTCTTTTGTTCCATATTTGCAGCACTTATCCATGGGCAGGCTGGCACACGAGTAAATTACTGGATAGAAATCACTGTATCAGAAGCATCACCACCAAGAAGACATTAAAAAAAAACACCTTAAGATATGCAGGTGAGTGCATGAATGAGAATCTCTATGGCCCAAAAGCTCAGATCACAAACTTTCCAGTTCTTGAACAGAGGTAGCTTATAAGTCCTTCAGAAACAAAAAGCTCAGAAGTCCAGGGCAGCCCAGAGCTGACCTGTGAGTGCTGTCAGCTCAAGCAGAGACAGAGTTTCCTCATAAATCACAGGGGCTCCAAAGGACCGTCATGACCTTCCCATCGGAGCAGAGGAGCAGGAGGATGAGCATAGGTCTTTGGAGGAAGTCTTATTGTGCAAAATGTTTTCTGCTTTGCTCCTTGCCCACCCTAAGTTCCATGAGCTGAGCGGACGTCCCCCAGTCAAACAGTTTTATAGCACTTTCCCACATCTGCTTGGCCTTCACCCCACAGCCAATGGGGTTCAGTATACGGGACTGGGAGGAAGTAGGACCATGGTAAGACGGATGTGAGAGCGATGATGTGACCCCCCCACACACAAAAACAGGGTCCTGGAGATGGCAATAGCACAGATATGAGCTTCCATCAGTACAATGACATCAAAGCTGAATACTCCGAATTTTTTCCATTTCTGCATTGGCTGCTTTCCAGATTTAGCAATCTTGTCAGTTTGTCAGGCGGGATTCATTCCTGTCTGTAGGCAGCA